GGAGGGGAATAAAGTATAATAATGTGTCACAGTATATGGAGCCGAGCCAAGACACACACTGTGAATAATCTGTGGTGTTTTTTTTGCTGAGCCGGTTGTTGTAGCATTAAAAATATAATGCCAAATATGTCCCAGTGTCTGGCTTGCCTTAATGATGACAGCCCAGGGGATGGATAATTAAGACAGAGGGATGAGGAGTTTTCCACTATACAGCTTTAATAGTTTTCTAATGACTCTTTTTCAACGCTATCGCATGGTATTGTGTAGGATCTTTTCTATTATGATCAGTTCTAGTTTATAGATTTTTTCTGTAATGTATTGAGCAGAAAAACGCTTTTATAAGGTGTCCTGAATGCACAAATTACCAGTCCGTGTTGCTTCAAAAGTCAAAGCTCTACTTTTTTTTTTTTTTTTTTTTTAAACATATTCTACCAATCTCCAAGGTCTGCAGCTGTTTAGTAAAGCACATGCACCCTCGATGCATACCTGGGCGAGACTGAAAAATGGACAAAGAATTACCTCTTATTATTTGGGTGATTCATGAAAGAGAATAAAGATGGACAGATGGATACAGATAAAACAGCAGGTGCATAGCAATAAGATTCATCACCTTGAAATCCAGGTTTAGACCTGAATCTACTGAAGTGTTGAGTCCCAGAGTGTCCTAAATAAACCACTCTGAAGCCAACACAGCTTTCAAAAGGAAAAGGAGCCTGAAACTTTAAATCCAGAAAGTAAAGGCTTTATGATATGCACTTCTGCCCTTCTATATGACTTTCAGCATCTGCCCTTTCAAGGAGAAATGAAAATGATCTGATTGATTAACCAATTATCTAACATGGCCACCTGACTCACTGATTCACATACAGTAAAATATCCTTGTTGCCTCTTTTTGTAAACAGTGTCATTAGATTTTACAAAAGCAGGGAATTGTATACCAATTTGTTGAAGCACGGATCAATATTTCAACATGTAAGCAATGTTGGACATATCACAAATAACACGCCCATGAACCCATATACATATGGATACACAGAGTTGCACAAGCACAAAGCTGACGCACACACACACACACACACAAGGATACACACACTTCATCCCACATGCTCTGTAAATAGAGAGCAGGATGTTGCAGACATTTGGGTGCATGAACAAACAAGAGATGCTCCTTGTAAGAGAGAGATTGAGAGCGAGAAAGCAGGGAAAGAAGGACGATTGAGAGAGAGCTGCAGAGAGGATAAAGACGGAGAGAAACACACAGGAAAAGAGAGCTGGGGGTAGGTGGACAGATGAAGTGGTGACTCAGGAATGAGATATGAAAACAAAAGATTCAGCACTTGGAATTATTCTCCTCCTCCTCCTCCTTCCTGCTCACTCCTTCTCTCTGTGGACAGGAAAGGTAGCATGAGACAGTTGTGGATCTTGCGCTGAACTTTGCCCTTTCTCTTACTAGCTCCATCCATCTTCTCTCCTGCTTCTGCCGCCCCAGCTCCTTCTCACATTCCTCTGGTTTCTGTTCCTTCATCTGCCACTCTCACCTTGTGAAGAGCAGCTGTCACCAAGCAGCCAACATTGCAGTTAATAAAAGGAAAAAATATTCAGGAGATGGGATACAAACCCTCTGCCGGCAGATCTTTTTTTTTTTTTTTTGATATGGAAGTCTAATACATAAGTCAAATAATAATAATAAAAAAAGAGAAATAAAATACTACAGTGGTTAGCACTCTTGCCTCACACCAAAAAAGAATCAGTTTGAAAATGAAATTTCACACCTACACAGATTTTTGTAGCTGTTACCTCTGGCTATCATTGTTATGTCCCTGTGATGATTCTGTAATATTTGACCAGAGTACAGAGGTCTATTTGTGCTCGGTTAAGATGTGGCACCCTGCCACGGCTGTGGCAAACCAGTTAGGCCCAGAGAGGCACAGGAAGTGTCACCTGTGTGGGCACAAATGAAGGAAATGCATGCAATTAATCCTGATGGTAGAAGCCTCCCAGTAACATGACATAACTCAGCCATTGCTTGTAATCGCTTTGACTTGAATGAAAGCTTTGTACGTTTAATTTGTTTGGTTGAACCACCAATATACTGTGTTTGACACACAGTGTGGGTAGTGTGCCATATGTTTGTTTTCTCCTGTCTTTGTAATGTACATGCAGGGTTTCCCCCTATGGAAAATGTTTAGCTGAGGTTGCAAACCACCCAGATGTTGACACACCTTGTCTCATCAATTTAGTGAGTAGATGATATAGCCCCGACAAGAGCCGCACTCATTAAATATACAGCGTGACACTTCTTGTGCAAAACACTTTTTTTCCTGCACAGCTTAAGGAATTACATCATTAATGTTTTATTAATTTTCCTCAGGTCTTTGTGTGGCCCAACGCTGCCACTAAAAGCTGCGACAAAAGGCAAATCACAAAGTGTCATTGCATTCACTCTTGTATTTCATAGTACAATATGCCATGATTGATTATTGTGTTCATTCTCTGCAGAAAAAGAGGAATAGTAAGACTCCCAGTTGTTTCTAATAGGTGAGACTGTATATGCAGGGAAGCTTGGATATGTGGTTTCTTTTTTGAATTAACAGAATGGGGAAGTATTGCAAGTGAGATGCTAGAAAGAAGGTTGTAGGAGTCCTTGACCAGGTTTCTGCACCTTAGAGAACAAAAAGGTGGAAAATATCCCTCTTGCATTTTGTTTAATTCAAACTTTCTGTATGAGCAGCAGAAAGCCCATGCAATAATTAACCACTTCCATCTTGCTTTCAGTCTTTCCTTGTGGGCGGACTGCATTTCATTATTTTATTAGTTGTAGTATTTTATTGCAACTCAGTGGAACTGGGAATATTTTATAGAGCTCTATGATGAACTCACGTGGTATAAGCAAGGATGGTTTTGTGTTCACATCTTGACCTACTTGAGTAACCTAACTTTTAAGTCGTGAATTTTTTTTTTTTTTTTAAATTCATTTCTGTGGATTCTCTCTCTCTCCTGCATCTCTCTCTCCCTCTCTGTCTCCCTCCCTTCCTCGCTCCCTCTCTTTTCCTCTCTCTCTCTCCTCCGGAGCTTATCTCGGTGCGCATCGTCAGCATCAGTTTGAAGTCAAATCTGACAGCCGCTGCCTTGCCCGGTCCTTTTCTTTTTTCTTCTCCCGTCTCTTTGACTCTCTGGTGGTCATCCCGTCTCGTTTAAAAGGTACAGCCCCGGATTAGTGAGCTAAACGTGTGTAATTATTGATGTACTTTTTGGGTGGGTGGGTTTGTTAAAGGCGAGGGAGGAGGAGGAGGAGATGGGGAGGGGGGATTGACCTCGATTGCCTGCCCGGGATGTGCGCGTCCACCGGCTTGATGTGCTTTTCTCTCACTGTGGTCTTCTTTTTTTTTAATGATCTTTTTTTTTTTTTTTTTTTTAATTTGATATCCTCTTTGCAGTTGAGTCGGGACTGTGGGATCCGATCGCTTGTCTTCAACTTGGGGTGAAGAAAGACACGGGAAACTCCTCGGGATTCTCCGTACACCGAGCGCTGATCCGGATATTGTGGTGAGCTCACTTTGGCCAGAATTTTGTCGCTTGATATCAATGCATTGTAAAGTACCGACTCTGATTTGTTGTGCTGATGCGAAACGGGCGTGTCTAAATGACACTTTTGTCTTCTTTTCTTTTTTAAAAAAAAAAGCTCACTTAATGAATTGTTTCCACATGCTAAGAAGCAGTAGAAAAGAAAACCAGGAGCGTGGTAGCGCAGCACCTCCTCCGCTGCTTCTCTTTCACATTTTTCATGTTTATATCTATATATATATATATTACCCCATGGCTGCGAAGTTCTCGCTCATTATGCATGGGAATTAATCGTGGCCATTTGTGACAATTGCCGGTATTGTCAGTATTCCTATCACGGAGGGTGGAGGGGAGTAAAATACAGGGGGTGGGTGGAGAGGAGAGATTAGGTGAGAGAAGTGTGAGAAGAAAGAAACATTTGAGGGATCCCTCAGGGAAGAGCCGGCTAACCCCTCTATTATGAGAGGGATTTTATTAGTCTTTTATTTCTCCACAATGATGACATTATCTGATACTGTTCTAAAGCCTCTACTTAATATGCTATTATTGTCAGTGCCATTACTGCCCATTATATATAGTGACATCCTACAGTACTGTTGGCTGCGCTGTAGGCAGAAATCTATGGGGCCATTTGCTGCTTTTATTGTCCTGTTTATCAATTAAGCCTGTCTATAATGGAGATATCACACTTTCTCCAACATAAAACATTACTCTCCCACACACCATCCGTTAGCATCTCACCTCCCACATAGCCACACTTGCTGTCCACAGCCGATTATCTGGTTATGTGCCACCATTTGCACTAATAGAGAGTCCCTACTTAATGTAATGACAACTCGATCTGTCAGGCCGTGCACAACAGAGGGCCGCTTAAAGGCTCATAAGCGGTGTCATCAAGGGCAGATTGAGAGGCCATAAAGACACAGAAGACAAGACAAAGTGCCGGTGGAGGTTGTCTGAGTAGTTTGCTGATGTGTTTTATTGTCCAAGTACAGTATGGGGCCATCATTTGTGAGGCATGTACCAAGGAATGTGTGTGTGTGTGCCAGTGTGTCGGTGTGTGTGTGAGTCGGCTCTGCTCAGCCATGTGTATGCAAGGAAAAGAATAAGTGAGCAAAAAGAAAGAGGGACAGGGAGAAGGAGAGAGAGGGATTATGCTAACTCATAGTATTGGAGGAAAAGGAAAAACCCATGTAAGCAGTTTTTCTCTTAGCTTATATATTTATATATCGAGCTGTCACTGATACACAGCGCGTTCTTCCGGCTTTGACATGCTTGTCACCAGCATGAGGTTTATATGAAAGAAGGCCACTGCTTATTTTAGCTTAGCTATAGGACTGCGAGCACAAACAAGGTGAGCTAAGAGGATTGACCAAACAAGACCACTGACTTAAACACAATCGAAGGCAGCTTATAAGTCAGGTCACATGAAAGGAAAATGCCAAGACAAGAGTTCAGGTTCAACCACACAGTATCTTCACTTTTCGCAGTGGCCGAATAGCTGAGGCGAAAATGCAGAAAGAAATGATAAGGCACCAGCGGGCGAGCTGTGGGTATTCAATAATCAGAGTTTATTTTATGTTTGGAGCTACGTTTAAGGTAACACTAATAATGTACGAAAGAAAATTCATTTCAATGGGAAAGTGTCCCGTGTCATCCCTCCTTGATTTACCCGCTGCACTATGTTAAGATGAGTTTCAGTCTGGGATTCACACAGATGTTCCTGTAGAGAGTTTGAACCTCGCTGCAGACATAGCGAGGCAATCATGCAACGAACCAATCATTTAGCCTCTGCAACCCCCATCAGTTCTTTTTTTTTTTTTTTTGTCAGGTGAAAATGAGATGTATTCTCAGATGATGTGCTGATATGGTGTCGCTGATGGCAGTCCAGATGATGATGATGACGATGACAGTGTTGCGCCGGCTCTTCTTAATGATAGTTATAATGCTGATCATCTGATTAACTGGTAACAAAACAGGTAGCGAGGCAATCATGCAACGAACCAATCATTTAGCCTCTGCAACCCCCATCAGTTCTTTTTTTTTTTTTTTTTGTCAGGTGAAAATGAGATGTATTCTCAGATGATGTGCTGATATGGTGTCGCTGATGGCAGTCCAGATGATGATGATGACGATGACAGTGTTGCGCCGGCTCTTCTTAATGATAGTTATAATGCTGATCATCTGATTAACTGGTAACAAAACAGGTAGGGTTAGCATTACATCACGGTGATGATGGCATTACAGCGCTGCAGTCAGAAGCAGGGCACTACATTTTACCCCAGAGTAACATTAGAAGGACTTTCATTTCCCTTAATGCTCTTCACTCTAAGAGCTGTGTAACTTCCAGCACGTTTCAGAAAATGCAAACGCTGGGTTAAAGGGGCGCCTCCGAAAGCAAACAAGTTGAATATCCCTCGACAGCATCAAAGAAAGTCTCTTCTTGTATTTTGGTGTTGTTGTTGTTGTTAAGATGGTGGGTTGGCAGCACCATCACAGTCCTATGAACATGACAATCCATGCAAAATGGTAGCGGCATACAAAACAAATCCTGATTTTTCCATGTGACAGATTGCGCGCGTTTTTTTTTATTTTTGCTTCCTCCGGTTGTTGTTTGTTCCCTGAGACGCACACTCACTAAATCACACGTAACAGCACATATGCATTCAAATGTACTCGCTCACATTTATCTAATTTTTAATGTGGACAAATCTGACAAATGAAGCATTCGACACATCTCAAAAATACCAAGAACTCATTCATGCAGGCCTGCAGACACATTTGCCTACATACTTCATTCCAAGAGCTATAAAACCTTATTGTGTCTTGTACTTATCCACCCATTCTGTCAAACAGTGCTTGGCCTTGGGCTTAAAAATATCTGAGTACAAATACAAACACACACGGACACACACACACACACACACACACACACACACACGGACACACACACACAACACACACAGAGGCATTCACACTTTTAGCAGGGACAGCCCTGGTGTGCTGGCGCCAAACCAAAGAGGTGGTGATAACAAGGTTGAAGTTAGTTAGGATTTTAGCTGCGCCTCAACCTCCTAACACCCTGTCTAAATCTGATTCATCCCAAAATGAGATGTTTTTCCAAGAGAGGGAGATAAAAACACACTCTCTCTCCCCCTCTGTTTCTCTTCCCCTCTCTTCTTCCCCTGCCAAATACAGTTGAGCTCACCCCCCTTCTCTACCCCCACCCCTCTATTACTCTCATACTCTCACACACTATCTGTTTCACACCCCGTTCCTCCCTCCCGTTCTCTCACATCTCTCTCCTCTCTCCTCCCCTGGCACCTCGATGTGTTTCTCTTTAATTGAGATGCATTTCAATGTGGTGCAAATTAGCTTTCTACAGCTCCAGTCTAAACTTGCAACGTATGTGTGTGTGTGTGTGTGTGTGCGTGTGTGTGTGTGTATGTGTGTGCCCATGCATGTATGTGTGCATGTGCGTGTGTGTGTGTGAAAAGAATTCCCACAGTTGAAAGTGAAGGCGCTACCTTCCTGTTCATTTCTCCACCGCATCTTCTCATGCTCCCTCTCTCCCACAAACGTACATTTTTAGTACAGCATTAATAACATTCGCTTGGACTCCTTTTGGTTTGTGTCTTTTGGCTGGAGGAATTTACTTGGCCCCCCTCTATGGATCTGAATTCTGGTCTTTGCCTCTGAGAGATGACAGTGCATGGCAGCTCATTAGGGAGAGGGATGGAAGTCAGGAGGGTCAGGAAGGTTATAGAGACATGTTTCAGTTATGCAATGCTTGTCTTCCTCTTTCCTCATCTGATCTGTTGCTGTTTTGCTAAATGGGAAAAGCTGGCTGGTGATATTCTTGTATAGTCTGCACGGTCTGGGAAGGGGTACTACCAGAAAAAAGCTGGAGTACGGTATGCCTCACTGAACATAAGCTTTCACTGACTGGTGTGGTAATATCAAGAAAAAACAAGAATTTGAACAGTGTTTTCCAACCTGGGGGTTCACAGGCCAAGAGGTCAGAAGATACTGTAAATGTCTGGGGTTGTGAAATGACACTTAGCTGATATTTCCTGTCTTTTTTTTTTAAATCATAAAATCTACATTTATTGTGACACATGATAAAACTTCTCAGGCTCCTAAAAACTCTTCAAAGGAAACCGTTTGAAACATATTCTATAGCTGAACTTCACATCCAACCTGCGATAAAGGGTCCCAAGTACACTTAAAATGTGAAATGATCTCACCTTGTGGCAAACACTTCGACTGGATTTATCTCAAAGATAGATACAGTTCATCTCACACCACAGAGTATTCTTGAAGCAGGTTTCTCCAGGTGGTGTCTGGTGTGTTTGTCTTTCTGTGTACGCACGTGTGTGTGTGTGCAGCGTACGACTGCGAACATGGCATGAACTTTGTGTTGCTTTCTCTGTACGTGCGTATAGATGCGCACATGCATGTGTGCATGTCAGAGAACAAGAAGAGTCATTAGGGAGAGTGATGCTGACAGTGGGGTGACCTTGGGGCTCCCAGTCTTCCTCCTGTCGATGAAGGGGATGACTTAGTGCCTCCCTCCCCACCCATGATGGCTCATTTATTATCATTAGGCACACAGTCAAAAGATGCTGCTCAGGCCCTCAAGACAGAGTGGTACGTCTGTGGGTGTGTGTGCGTTCGCCCGTGCGTACATACCCGTGTGTGTGCACATCACTGAGAGTGAGCGACAATAGGACCGAGACTGAAAAGGAAGCCTTATCTCTTATGATAAGTGTTGCATGTCTGAGCATATGTGTTTGTCAGCTCGTGTTTGTCACAGGTGCGCTTGCCTTTGCGCGAGCTGGTGAGCGCGTGTTTATCCATATCTTGACGTCAGACGTGTTTGCCTGTCAGTCCACATCTGCCCGTGAGGCGCGGCAGCTCTCCGCCTGCTCACCATGTGGCATAAATAAGGGCTTGTGCCATAACCCTAACCTTACGTCACC